CAACTCCATGAATTCCGATTTCATCTTTATGAATACACAATTTAAACCTCGTGAATTCCCGTTTTCAAAATATGGAATTCACGAATTCACGGTTCGGCTTCATGAATTCACGACTTCAACTTCACGAATTCACGATTTCAATTCATGAATTCACGATTTTAACTTCACGAACTCACGATTTCAACTTCACGAATTCACAATTTCAACTTCATGAAGTTGAAATCGTGAATTCTTGAAGTTGAAATCGAGAGTTCATGAAGCTGAAATCGGGAATTCATGAAGTTGAAATGCCCCCACCGGTCTTTATTACCAAAGGACTCCTCCTCACTTTTGATTAAGACGTTGATAGTGAGGTGTAATATTTGTTTCAAAATATTTGGAAGGCGGGATAACGTGTTACGACATAAGAGATCTGTGCGTTCTGATGTAGATCATGAAGAGGACGCAATGTCTTAAATATCTTCAACAGACGGCTTTATAGAACCTGACCCTGAAAGCTCGTCTGATACAAATGATAATGGCAATATTTCTGTAAATTCGGAAGACGCAATGGATATTGATCCTTAGGAAGACATTATACAGGAGGGTTTTGATCAATGTCAGTCGCAGTATCAAAATAAATTGCACGAGGCTATTGAAGAAGAAACTAATATCAGTGAATGAGAAGCCAAGAAACAAGTCTTTGAGGATATGAAAACCACTCACTGAAATGCCATAATGAAAAACTTTGGTAGTAAACTTGTGTAGTTTCACGTCATGAAGAAAGATCCAATATATAAGGCTATAAAATAGACGATCAACCATCTTTTTAAAACAGAAGGCTATGAAAATAATGAAGCTTTAAAATGCGACATTCTGAAGAGGAGATTTATTTTTGATAAAGTCTTGGAATGCTATAAATATCCCCAATTAGAAGACGATATGACTGCAAAGGAACTTTCAAAGTAAAGATGTCACAACTGAGGTGACATCAAGCAAATAAGCATGAAATGTGAATATTGACATAATTCTGTAACAACAAAACTTTTTATTTCATGCACGAAATGAAACGATCAAGCATAAACAGATATAAGCAGAGCAAGTGTTTTTTGTTATATTTATCAATTTGTGATAAAGTTGAATTATTTGTATAAATTAAATGAAAACAGTATAAATCTAAATCTATGTCCATAAGCAGTGAAAAATATTCTGTTTAAAACTGTTAAATCTTTTTAGAATCTCTTTTATTAAAAAAGTCAGATGTGTATAAAGATGATGTTTAGAGAAGGAAAATAATAGCTAGTGTACATGAAAGTGTTACTTTTTTATATTTTTTATATCATCCCGAACAAAAATTAGTCAAAGTACACTTAGTCTACCATTATAATGTCATGCAATTTATTCCTTATCGTAAAAATGACATAAAATATGAAAAGTAATAAAATAAATATTTCATTCCTTTATAAGCGTCTTATAACCAGTATAGCATGACAAAGCTAGCCATACATAAACGATTAAGTTACATCATAACATCGGAATGATATCACGGTGTCTTTGTAGACTGATTACAGTAGAACCCCACTTACAAGACCACTCACCACCTGCAGTTCTTATAAGAAATTGCCTTAATAACGAGTTGGTTTTGTGATTAATGCTTCCGAGTGATCACTTTGTTTCCAGACTTTTAATATAAAATTTGTGTAAAGCAGTTGTATCACCTTTATATAGTACGAATTGCAACTTATCTGCACTAAGACCAACCCCACCCACCCCGATAAGATCCATAATTTTATACTGTACTTTAATTTTAAACAACTGGTTTTATATGTCACAAACAACATATTGTGATCTGTTTTAGTTAATGAGGCAATACAAACCTCACAATTTGTATTTTTAATTAATATTTGCATCTATTTACGTAGAAATAATATAAAACCATAAAAATAAATCTTTGCACTGATAAAAGCATGTGGAAATGTACTCTTCGTCTCTATCTTCACAGTTAATTGGTTTGCCTTCCAAACACTTTGCCTCATTTTACATCCTTACACCACTTGCGACGCCAGGACAACATACATAAAATTTAACCCTTAACTTCATGAGCATATCGTGAAAAATCAAAAATGCCCGTTTTTATTGAAAAGCCTTCTGTTGCTAGTTTAAACTGCTATGAAACTATGACAAATGCTTCAATACTAATGGAACTTGGCACATTGTTGACTGGACCATAGCCTCTGTAACATTATGCTCAATCTTTAATTCCTATTTCCGTGGCAACGTTCTGAAGTCTCAAAATTGCCAAAAGTCATTGTTATGCATTGTTTTTTTTTTCTATCAAAACTGATTTCAAAGTGCTGCAAATTCTCAATTGAGATAGAGTAAAGGCTTTCCAACGTTGGTTACCCGTTACCTTACGATCGACTCGAGACCATTTTTAGCTTGTCACATGTCCAACATTTTCTTGGCGATAAGTGGGGCTATCGCCCATTTCAAATCCCCGAAACATAAGGGGGTACATCCCTCTTCTGGCAACCCATGGATGTACATTTTTAAAGTGGGCAGCGCCGAAAAAGTGATCATTTTTATCATAATCTTTCAAATGAGCAACAGTGTTTGAGGCCTAAAATGGGCATTTTGTACCTGTCTGCGGCCTCAAAAAGGGAGGGGGCGAAAAGCCGTCAAAACACGGCTATATGGGGTAAAGGGTTAAACAGTCATTTCAATTGTAAGCTAATACTTACTTTTCTTTTTTACAGCACTAGTTATTGTTAACTGTAATATTTCACAAAACAGAAATATTCCGTTTCTGTTTAGCACGTTAAATTCCACAAGATGTATGTTTATTATTGAAATTTGAGTATTTTTCTTACACTTAAATGTATAACAAAGTTGAACAAAAGTGTTGAACACCACTGTTGTACATGTCAATGATTCTTGTTATTTACTTGTTCATGTTTTCTTATTAATATTTGTAAATGCAAACAATCGGAATACAAGAATGACATGAGATAAAAGTGGGCTTTTCAATATGTAACATCGCAGTACTAATGATATTAAAAATAATATGTCCTTACATCTTTCAAGTGAAAAAGTCTTAACCATTAACGCTATATTACATAAGAGCAATAAAGTTTGTCATGGTAACTAACTCCCTGAAGATATGATCATCTTTATGGGACACTAAAATTTTTTCTTCCCTTTTACTTAATTATTTTTTAGCAAATCTTTACTGATATCTTACCCACATACATAAGGTGTATAAAATAGAGAGGAATAAAATATCCCTTAAAAAGCCCGACAAGATAAATCACACCTGTTCTTTTTTTTGTATGAAATTATGATTTGTATTTTCCCCCGAGTTCATTTAACCGGTCTGAAACTGTTTTGACCCTCTCTCAGACTTTCAGGCATATTTGGTGCCAATGAAGATAATTATATTTTTGACTTCTAAGGACGGCCCGAGTCCATTTAACCGGCCTGCGACTGTTTTTGACTCTCTCTCAGACCAGTTTTTGACCCGCCGAATGATTTTTAGGAACATTTGGTTCCCATGGAGATAATGGCCTTTTTTAACTTTTATGTATGTCCCCGAGTCCATTTAACAGGTCAGCGACAGTATTTGACCCTTTCTCAGACCTTCAGGAATATTTGATGCCTATGGAGATTATGACATTTTTGACTTCTAGGTTCGTTCCCGGATCCATTTAACCGGTCTGCGATTTTTGACCCTCTCTTAGACCTGTAGGAATATTTGAGCCAAATGAAATACATTTTTGACTTCCAGGGACAGTCCCGAATTTATTAAACTGGTCAGCGGCTGTTTTTGACCCATTATCAGATTTTAGGAATAGTAGGTGCCAATATCATTATATTCAGTCAAATTTGCCATTGGTAGTAGATCCTGAGCTACTTGTTCTTCAATAAATTGGCGACGCATTTGAGCCATTTTGAAATTTTATCGTCTTGGCTTTTGTAAAGTATACGCATCCTGATCATTGACCCAAATCTTTACAAAGATGAATTGCAGATAGATGTTGAATTGTTACTTATTTTTCTATTAGTTTATAATACACTTTGGTAAAAAATATATTATGTTTTGAGTTATAGATTCTTTTCCTAAATGATGAAACAGTATGGCATAATGGGTAATTAGTATTATATTTTAGTCAGAAACTCTGACGTGAACTGTTCAACTAATAATATTTTCCTTACGTGTCAGCTCTCATTGCTTAAAAAAATGCTAAAAAGTCATATTTTAAACATCAGTTTTTTAAGGTTTAAGAAATGAAAATCTCCACATGATACTTTAATTATTTCATTAAAACAGCTTTGAAAGTTTTCTGAAATGACAAGGTCTACATTGTTATTAATAGATAATATATTTCTCATGCTTCATTTTCAGTGACTGTAAATCTGTAATACTTTTACATTTACTGTTTTATGATATAATGCATATATACCCAACTCCTTTATTTAGGGGTATTACAATATTTACTGTCATTGAAAGACTCACAATTACGATCAGGTGTTCTTATTATTTATCATTATAATTAGGATGCATTTTGTATCGTCAGTGTTTTTTTACATCCTGGGACCTTTGTGAATCATCAGTGCCTTTTTACGTCTTGATACATTTGTGCGTTATGGTTTCTATACTACTTATGCTGGAATCTACAAATGACATTCCTTTTAGATAACTGTTATGCACAACATGCAGAATTATAACATACTTGCTCTAATTATTTATACTTAATGCATTTATTTACCATTGTTCTTCACTATATTATGATTTTTCGATCGTTGTGGACAGTGCAGCTTTATTTCAGCTGTCCACCAATCGTATCAATGCGTAGAACCAGTTAATTTATAAGGTGTATGTACGCGGGTATTTGACCATTCGAGGTACTATATGTTAACTACACACAAACAACAACCTATCCCGCCCTCATTTTTGAGACTATACGTAAGATTGTATATGTTATGCTGGCCCCGAGGTTATAAACATTTTAAAAATCTCAACTCAGAACTCAGCTCAAAACTCCGAGTTTAAACTAAGTTGAGATTTGAGCTCAAAGTGAGATTATAAAAACTTCTGAGACCGATCTCAGTTGAGCACGAAAATGAGTCGATTTCGTTATTTACATAAGCGGCCCGGAGTACCGGAAGTTTACAGTTCGTCTGCTGTAAATATGGAGACGACAGACGTGACAGAAGTTGAATGTGTTCCCAAGGCGGATAAATCAAGGTGGACAGTGGCAGAGGAGTCCACCTTGATAGATCTCGTCCTTGGGAACGAGAATTTATTGTTTGGTGCCCTTGCGGGCCCAAACAAGGAGAGTATCCGGAGATCCCGGCAGAAATGCTGGGATGACATTTGCCAGCAACTGAACAGGTAAAACAAATGCACATTTGTTTAATTAATTACAAAATGAAATCAAAATTGGTTTATTCATGTGTAGTAAATAATAATGTAACATAATTATAAACGTTCCCGCAGAGATCGTAATTTATAAATAATTTACAAATGCTTATAGATTCTATATCGGAAAAAAATCCCCTTAAGAGCCCCGACAAATGTCATTGTAAATTTTGTTATTTCCCTTGAAAAGAAGCAGTGGTAGTTATTCCCCTTTGCAACCTTGACCTCCCTCGTGTTAGTCATCACGATGCTTCAAAATCGTAAGCAGTGCAAATTTAAAGACACAATGTGAAAGCAAGTTAAAAAGAAATACAAGACTGAGATAAAAGTTAAAATCCAAGTTGGCTAAGAACTGGTAAAAAGGATGCAGCTGCCCAGTACAGAGGTCTAAACTGGGACTTGCTTGTAACTGTGTAAGGCCTAATGGCAATGGATAGGGCATTCCACAGACGAATACTTCTGGGGAAAAATTGAACAGGAGTGATACTGACACTGTGCCCTTGAATATGGTATTAGGTAGTTCAGCTTCTAGTGGGGTGTCAGGTGGTGATGGTCGACCCTCAAAAGATTGTGTTGTCTTCAACGGTGTGTCCTGCTGAACAAATCACATTTAAAAGTTTCCGCATGGTAAATATTTTCCTAATTCAAAGATGTGTCAGAATGGAATAATCAAGTAACAAGATATTGTTGATTCGTTGTTACAGTGAGTAGTACAAATAGCATTTTAGACTTTATAAATTTTGTCAATTATGAAAAATCTTATTCTTATTCTTCAATAATAATAATATTGTCAGTCCTCTCCAGATAGCCTTATGATTATTGGGGGTCAGACCTTAAGGGTGTTGCTACACATCAGGGACCCTACTGTATGCTGGATAAATTAAATGTATATCTCTTAAAAAAACACAACCTGGAAGTTTTAATTGTGTTTTATACATGTGTGATGTTACTCGAACCAGTGTTGAGGTCAGGTTAAATTGAAGTAAAATTAAGAGAATGGCCAAATGTTTATATCAGATAATTTGTGTGTCAAGTACGTAATCTAAAGCTATTATCCCAGTCCCACTTATTGTAGTTTGGGCTTTTTTGAAATGAAATTTCATAAAAAGATGAAATTTCACCACAGGCGTGTACATTAATATATATGGAACTTGATGATTATACATTTCTTGTGCGAAGAAAAATACAAGAAAAGTATTTGTAATTTCTATGATGCTGTAATTTCAAATCATTGCAATGATTTTTTTGTAAATTGTGACTTGAATTATATACACACCCTTGAACTGGTTACAAGTAGATTGGTTGGTTGCGGGTCTAATAATTGGGCTCTTGGTAATTATTTTATCTTGCAGTTGATTGCTGCACAAAATATCATAGAAAATTATGTGTACTTAAAGAGACAAAAAAAAGAGAAGAAAATGTATTGGTTATCCTGTTTAAAACTGACACTTACGTAGTAAGTTCTACAAACATCAAGCTGTCATACTCTAAACATTTTCACAGGTGTGATAAAAAGGTAGTTAATATCTGTATCAAGCGAAACATAACAACCATTAGATCACAGTTTCTTTTGAAAACTGCAAAATTTACTTCTACATGTATACATATATAGGAACAGATATTTATGATAAATATTTTGTTACTTTGTGTAATTTTATATAAATTTTCATTACTCTTGTAAAACAAGTCCAATAGATACACCATTAACTTATTTGATAATGAATATTATAAACAGAGTATTTGAGATTTGTAATTGAGAGCATTTATCTGTAAGGTGCTCCTATACCATGTGATTATGTCATGTGACAACCACTTCATTGGCTAAACTAAACAGTAAGATTTCGAAAATACTTGGAAGGGATTTGAGATTAAGTCCTCTATTTAAAGTGGTAAGGAATAGTTTTTCAAAAGTGGGTTTTGCTCATCCAAGATGGAGATTATGGAGGGAGGGAGAGCAGGCTGATGGAATGTCATTTAACTTCATGGTGCATAAATATGTTAATTGATCACTTACTATTAAAAAGTCATGCAAACTCCTGAAGCCTTTTTGTTTATATGATTTAGAGACTCCATTGCTGCATAATGCTCAGTGCTCTTAAATTATTCTATTACAAGTATTTAGCATGTAAAAATGATTATGTTCAAACAATGAACAATTCCATTAAAAAATTATTATTTAATTAATTATCAAGTTACTAAGAATGCAGATTAAAAATAGTGTTGATAAAAGCTATATGCTGCAGTATATTTTTATATATTTTTTCATTTTATTACAGTCAATTCATAAATTCTAAAAAAGATGTTGCTGGCATCAAGAAGAAATTTTCCAACATAAAGCAGAGGAGTAAGTATTGACAGTTTTTATTTTTATATATTTCAGTAAATTTTTTTAGCCTTATTTGTATTACCAAATAAATTAATTAAATACTATAAATGATAACACAGTGGATGAAAAATTTAGAAGAAATTTTTTCATCCACTGTGTTATCATTTATAGTATTTAAAGTTAGTTTTTCTCTGTTTTTTTATCCTTTTCATTATTAATTCCTTTTATTTTTTTAATGTATCTAATTCAATGTGATGGGTCAAGCTAATTTGGTCATTAATGAAATTTGTATTTTTTATACCCCCGCACAACGAAGTTGTAAGGGGGGTATTCTGGAATCAGCTTGTCCCTCCTGACGTCTCCCGGTCAGGCCGACGATGGTTTTTCCTTGTCCGCTCAATAACTTTAGTTTCCTTTGGCCCACAGTCTTCATATTTGGCATGGAGGTTAGTCATGATTAGTAGATGACCCCTATTTTGAGGTCACCAGGTCAAAGATCAAAGTCACAGGGGCCTTGACTAAAAAGCTTTTCTGCCAAATTGATCAAGAATGCTTTGGTCAAAAGTCTTCATATTTGGTATTGAGGTTGTTTATGACTAGTAGATGATCCCTGTGTCAAAGGTCGAGGTCAGAGAGATTTTAACTTTAATACACTTGTTACTATATATAGTAACACAATTGCCTATGATTTCAACTTATTATGAGTGTCACGTGACTTGGACATTAATGTCAGAATAATGTGAAAGAATGTATACTTTATGATTAATGAAATGTATTGAGATAAATGTCTTTGTTTTGTCTTTTTAAGAGTAGACAACTTTTTGTTTTTTTATAACGGTAGCAAGAATGGATGCTAAGTTTGAGTGGGTTTTGTGGTTCTGACTATGAGGTTATACAATTATATGTGTTAAGACATTATTCCATACAGTGCATTTGAATTGCACGTAACCATATTTTTTGGAATGTTCGGATCGATAACATGGGACTTTTTTATATGATCACGTGATGATCAGACAATTTGTGATTTTTATATACGCAAAAGTTTTATATATATCATTACTTTTGTTCCTAAAAATTGTTAGAACAATAAATTCATCATGATGTATATTGACTTAAAGTTAATCAACCCCCGGTCGACAATTCAGGAGAAGATATTAACAATTTTGTAAATATTGTTTTTAAGTCTCTAAGAATGGTCTCTATTTTTTCTTACCATTGAATGTGTAAATTGATGATTATACATTTTATTGTACCGGTGGAACCATACATTTTCTGTTATGCAATCGTTAACGTTTTGTTATGTTCCCCATATTGCATTGTAAAATGCTTGGGTGAAAATAGAATATGTTCTGTTCTGTTCTTATATACTTACAAATCGAATCGGTATTGAAAAGGTTACTGAAGAGTTGTTTTAAATGTTGCTATTTAATCGAATTTGATGTCATTGTATCTAGGTGATGTTTTTATTAGCATATGAAGTTTAATGAATTTAACCAAGATTTGTTAATGATCTGTCAACGTTTTTTAAGTACATAATTTGTAAAATTACTGCTGTGAAAATAGTGTTACGATGTTTCATCTAAATGAACAGGTAAAATGATTCTACCTTATAAAAATTATCGCTTATGTTTGCGAAGCTAATGCAGCATAAATCCACTTAAAACTTGATTCACTTATCTGATAATATTCAAATATATGTATTATTCTCTTTTTTTCCATTTCAAGTAAGGTGTTCAGTACTTTGCAATAATGTTCACCATTATTGCAAATTTTATAGTTATTACTTGATAACGCAGCAACAATAAAAATTCTCATTTGAATGTAAATTATAACCTTAAAAAAGGATATCGACCTAAATTTATTTAACGTTGTCGCTTCTTTGTACCATAATCGGCTCTAATATAAGTTTTCGATGTTATTTTACAAAAAAGATATAGATTGAAGTTTAAAGAATAGAACAGAAGAAACATAAGATTAAACTTATTATATATAAAATATGACCGACGAAACGACTAATGATATTAGAAAAGAAATGCATATTTTTCCTACCATGCAACTCGACAGCAACTAGTGAATAGAAAATGGCGTGTAGAATTCTCATAATGGCGTATGCATCATTTTGATAAAATAATAATCGAAATTCTGTATATTGCGAATTTTTAGATAGATTTAAAATTCAGCAAACACAAAGTTCGGCATTCTTCCACTTCGAGTCAGCATGAGTTCGAGATTCAAAATTTACATTTGTGGAATTTCCAGTTGGTGTTGAATTGATGATCGGATTTCAAAATTATGTTGAATTACGAGCAAGCTAATCAAAATTTATGTTATTAAATATTAATACTGCATAGGCGGTCTGTTTCAACATATTTCTATATCATGATTGTTATCAAAAATAGATTTTTAAAGTTAACGTTGAAATAGAATCTATTTATCAAATAAATACAGGGTGTCTCAAAAAAGGTTACACTGTAAATAGTTGGTATTTAATATTCAATGTTATCCGATTTCAAAATGTGTACTTGTACAGAAAAAGTATGAAACAAATTTATGCAAAAACAATTGACAAGTTTGACTTTCGTTTTGTGTAAACAAAACACTGAAAATACCTAATTCACACATTTTAGCAATAAATATTCTTTTTCCAACTGACCAAATTTCATTCTCTGTCCTTCCCGGGCTCGCACTATCAAATTGTCAATGACACTGCCTCATGTTTCCTTGTTGACTTTCCTCACTTCTTGTTTGGTGTTGGTATTTGTATAACCTTGACTTCAGTTAGCTTCTGAAAAAGAAGTCACATGGATTCAGATCAGGACTGTGGGCTGGCCACGACTAACCACTCACCTAAACTTCTGAATACCGCCGCGATATCACCTTGTCGCCAAAGGTTTCGAGGCGTAATAGACTTACATTTGATGTATGTGGCGTAGCACCATCTTGCATAAGACAATTATTTTCGATATTCTCGAATTGCTTATGTAAAGCAGTAATGAACTTGTGCAGAAGGACAGATATCGCTGAAAATTGACTGTGTCGTTAAACACAGACTAGAAATAGGAGCATCAGCAACCGAATCCGAACTTTCTCAGAATTTTATAAAATTTCTTTCTGCTCACAGTAGATTTCTTAAATTAATGCTTAAATTTCCTTTGAAAATCAATTACACTTTTAGTTTCGTATCAATTTTCAACCACAGAAATTCACTGAACAGGTTTCAAATCCGCCATTTTGAAAAATATGTAATATCGGAAATGACGTCATGACTTTAAAACTTTACAATATTTAGCGCCGTTTTTTACAAACTATGAAAACTTCATATGTTACCCTTTAAAATTAATACTATGTGTTGTTCATTTAAACAGTCGAATATAAAGCAAAGTTATTGAGAGTTCAAAGTGTTACCTTTCTTTTGGAACACCCTGTACAAGACAATTTCAAAAGTATGTATCTATTTTATCATTTCATTAAATTCATTTAATATATCTATCCATGGGCGTTATTCCATTTTCATCATTTTCAGTTAAAAAAAAGATACTTCTTACTGCCAAACTTTTTAAAATGTAATGCAAAATTTCTTTTACCTTAGGGTTTTTAGCCTGTGGCTTGCCTGTCGGGCTCCCGTAATAAGAAGCCTAAAGGGAGCCCAATAATAGACAAAATTGTCTTTATAACTGACTTTAAGTTATCAAACTAAGTACGAGTATTTAAGAGAGATAAGAGGCCAATAGGAATATAAATAATGGAGGAAAATATCGCATTTTATAGTGTAGAACATATTCACATGTAGTTTATTGCAAGACAGTACATTCGCCTTGTATCATTTTTGCGAGCACAGGACGAAGATGCATTTACTCGCATGTGAATTTCATAAAATATTATTGTCGCATTGATAAAAAACGGATGCTGGAACTCTTTAGGCCGTCCGTAAAAATCAATCTAACTTAAACATTTATCAAGTAATTCGGACGAAAATCTACTGTTAAATCTACACAAATTTCGATTTGGATAATTTTTTTTATACATATAACATTTCCATCATATTATCATGAACCATAAATTTTTTAATTACACACTTCTTTTTATCAAATATAGGATCAGTCATTTGAATAGAGTCACACTATATTACATTTTACGGATTGTTCGGCATGCACATAAGTATATATAGTGTTAATTGGATTGTAATTTTCACAATTATTCGACTGCAAGTTAATCAGTAACAACGATTGTATCAAAATGAAAAGTTATAATTTCATATGCGTTCTGATTCTGTGTTTGACTTTGCATAAAATGGACACTTTTGCAAGTAAGTTTTATTATTCAATTATATCTTAAGTCACAGATTATTTATACTTTGAACAATAAGACAAACAGTCTTCAATATTTAGAGAACAACTTTTTGTTTAAATTTCATATCTTGAATTCTGTAATAATCGTGCTCGGTTCCTAAATAAATCTTAAACAAAACTTGTTTGAATGTGATAACATTTGAATAATGAAAATGAAATGGAATGTCGAACGCTTTATAATAAAAACAGAACGAAATTTGACGACAAACAAAATAATTCAATGAATTTAACATGTTTTTGTTACTAAACGAAAATAAATAATGGACATCATGATAGTGAAGAAACATTTTAATTATGTCACGGTATAACGGTCAACAGTCGTAAGCTGTATAAGTGGTAAGGTCTCTACGGTGCAACGCTGTGGCAACCCCAGTGATTAGCATTTGCCCCAAGTATAGAGTCGGGCCAGCCGACAGTTCCATACCGTCTGATAGTTCTGCCAAGTTGGAATGTAATGTGCGTAATTCAAAACAATATTTCAAGATTTTAATGCGTCAATGTTATTTTTTCCAATACAAATTACATTAAGTTTAGTCGATTTAGTGTTTTTTAATACATTATTTACAACTGAATAAATTTTGGACTCTTTTCTAATTTCTTGTGTAATATTTGCAAGGAAGTACCAATAAAGACATTTTGATACATTGCATTAGCATTTTTTTCTTTCTTTATTTTTTTTTTCATTTTATTTATTAGTTTTGCATACCATACTTAATTAATTACATAACCTTAAAGGGATGCTTTAAAAAATAGCGGAAATTAAACTTAAATATATATATTTGATTTATGTATGAAATGAGCGGAAGCGGTTTTGAAACTACTGTTTTGTTCTTTATATAAATAATGCTTAGTCTGCAGTTATGTTTGCCACTCGCAGTTATTATACCACAGCTTTTTTTTACAGTAATAATTTATTTTGTATCGCCAATACTAGGTTTGTAGATATGACCTTTGTTAATTTTTGTATTGTTCTTGTAAATGAATTTACACATTACTTATGTATATCTGATTATAGAGACAGATATATATTTTATCACCGACAATGTTGTACAAAAATGACATTTCTTGGTCTTTAGTTATTCAAAAGTTATCAGAATTCCGATTTGACATTTTTAACGTTGTAATAATTATACCTTTAGTTATTAAATATTACATCGTTTGACTAAACGCATGATTTTAGGTTTTGCACATATTTCTTTAAATAAACAAATGTATAAATCTCAAATGAAGTTTGTCGATGTTGCACAGGTTAAACAATTTCTTAGTTCAGGTGGAGGTAAAAATCCTTGTATTATAGTTTGGGACCTTTTTTGAAAGTGTGACAAAGTCAAGTTGTA